GACTCAACCAAATTGCAATACAGGTCAGGACACAGGTCAGGGAAAGACTCAAGCCTTGGAAACAAAGGAATTATGCAATTTTTGGTCTTGTCTGTTGAAGTTTCAGTATGCAAACAGCCTGTCTGAGGAAGCCATGTACTGTATTCCTCATGTGTTCAAAGCATGCCTGTCTTCCTTGTTCTAATGTAGGAATTGGAACCTTTTTCAGACTGAAGACCCCGTTCCCTTGTGGACATCCTTCCAGGGACTACATGCAAGTGATGGGCAGATCAATAGATGCACATGTTAGCTTTTTGCAGTTGGCTAGTTTTCACATATAACAAGTCCTCTAATTCCGTATAGTAAAAGCTATGGTTTTCCCAGTAGTGATGTATGGAAGTGAAAGCTGGACCATAAAGAAGGCTGATAGCTGAAGAATTGATGCTTTTGAATTATGGTGCTGGAGGAGACTCTTGAGAGTCCCATAGACTGCAATAAGATCAAACCTATCCATTCTTAAGGAAATCAGCCCTGAGTGCTCACTGGAAGGACAGATCGTGAAGTTGAGGCTCCAATACTTTGGCCACCTCATGAGAAGAGAAGACTCCCTGGAAAAGACCCTGATGCTGGGAAAGATGGAGGGCACAAGGAGAAGGGGACGGCAGAGGACGAGATGGTTGGATAGTGTTCGCGAAGCTACCAACATGAGTTTGACCAAACTGCGGGAGGCAGTGGAAGACAGGAGTGCCTGGCGTGCTCTGGTCCATGGGGTCACGAAGAGTCGGACACGACTAAATGACTAAACAACAACAAGTTTTCACACACACACTCATGTCCTTCTCTGTCTTATATCCAGGCAAGCAAGAGGCATTCCAGAGCTTCAAGATGCATTCCATCCACTCCTATTCTAGTGTGTTTCTGTATTTCATGACTCAGCTCCTAGTTCCTGGCTCAGCTATATAGGTATTCAATGAGACCATCAGACACACCCACACAAGATATGAAATGTGAAATGGAGCCATAAGCAGACTTTTAACACATACTATTCAGTAGTACTGTGCACCAGCTTTAGGCAAATCCCAGATACCAAACTCATTCAGGTCAGTCCAGAATTTACCCAGAGTGGGCTGTGGCAGACCCAGTTTGCCTCATGACAGTTTACCCACAGCAATCAAGAGTTACAAAAAAGGGAGGTGGTCACAGAAGCATATGAGGGGTGAGAACTAGATGCAACTAGTTGGTGATGAGAAGGGATTGAACACATAGGGATGTGCAAGTTCTCTAAGTCAGTTTGAAACCTGGATCTGGCCCAGATTGTGTCAGGTCTGGTGCTAGTCATCTGAGGGCATGTCATTAAGTTGGGTGCCTGTGTACACAGCCCTACTGTCAGCTCTATGTATAAAAGGTCTCAGTTAATTTCCATAATGTCTGAGTCGCTGAGAATTTGGCTCTCTATAGGTACCAACACTGAACTAGAGCAGCTCCCATGAGGACAGAGATTTTAGTGCTCAGGCAAATGTATCTGATAAGCTGCTTCTCTCCTCTCCTCTTTTCTTTTCCAGAAAGAAGTTTCTAGTTATCACTGAGAGGGATGAGTATAAGAGCACTAGAATAGCCCAGATAGGTCTGACCAAAACCCGGTGACCAAAAACCTGTCTAGCCTAGCACTGTGTTCTCACAATTGCCAACTCAGATGCATATGGGAAGCACACAAGCACAACCTGTGTGCAATACAGTCATGCCTCAGGTTACAGATGCTTCAGGTTGCATGTTTTCGGGTTGCGCACCATGCCAAACCCGGAAGTACCAGATGCGGCGCTGCGGATTGCGAATGCTGCGGGTTGCGAGCGTGCCTCCTGCACGGATCACGTTCACAACCTGAGCATCCACTGAAGTGCCTTCCTGCTTGCAGGTAGTATAGCTTGGATGTACTACAGCCATCATGATCATTGATAGCCTCATCCTTCATGAATTAGTCTAATCCCCTTTTAAAGGTGTTCAAGTTGGTGGCCAACTTGTGAAAACATGAAATAACTGGTGAATTTTGATTATCATTTGCCAACTGGAAGCACAATATATGATTTTTAAAAAAAATTAAAACCCCCAAAATAGCATGTGAGTTCAGTGCATTCTTGGTGAAGTTGTTGTGAATTTGGATGCTTGAACACAGGGCTTTTTTTCCAGCCAGAACTTGCCAGAACTCAGTTCCGGCACCTGTCAGGTGGATTCCCACACCTCTCAGGTGGGTGCCATTGCCATTCTAAGAGAATGTGGGAGGCGTTCATGGTGAGTTCTGGCACCTCTTTTTCTAGAAAAAATAGCACTGCTTGAACTACATGTAAGTAAAGTCCCCAGCAATGCCTTTCATTTCAAACAGTGCTGTAGATCCATTTATTTTGTGTAACTGATTCCAAGGAGAGTAGTGTCATCTTGAAGTATTGTGAAGAGCCTGTGAAACATGTCTCATTTGTAGCAGTTTGCTTGTCAGCTGAGAATGAAGAAATAATTCCTCACCATCAGACATCATACAGTTAAAGCTAGAAAGATTGATTAGGTTTTTGTCGTCGTCCCCCCCCCTCGAGTTTTAAGTCCCTAGATTATTTTTGTTAACAGCAAATAAAGTTTGAAGTCACTTGTCTTTGTCTTAATTGCTTATACTATTAGTCTGCAGTTAGAATAGTTACTTAGGTAGTGCCACCTCTTCCCAATTGTGGACATAGTGTTAGGTTTTACATTTTATCTACAACTGTATCCTCTCTCAATCAATCCTTTTCATTTATACTTCAGCACCTGGGGTATTATCATTCTTTAATTGCTGCCTTCCTACCGACCTAGGTTTATCAAAATTCCCTCATTGCTGATTGTGTTCTGAGGCTATAGTAGTCACTCACTGCACTACCTTTACCAAATCACAATTTTCACTTGCTTAAATTTGCAGTTCTGTGCTGTGAGATTGTCATAGTTCAGTCCAATATGTTAGGAGGGAAAAAAGTGTGAAACTTCTCAAACGCCTCTTTTCCCAAAGTGTCTAAAGTTGAGGTCAGGGGACCAATGACCCTCCTTGCCCCACCCCCGATAGGCCCTGCCTCCGACAAACCCGATGGGGATTGCATTCAGCCCATCTAACAGAACGTTCTAGTGAAGAAGTTGCCCTTCTAACTGCACGGGAATTGATGATCTGTAAGGAAATCCCACCAGCTGGGAGAACATTTCATTGCATGCATCCTTCCCACACAATCAGCACCCCACTGCTGCTCACAGCAAAGTTCCTGTTCTGTGAAGGGAAAATTCACATTTAGCCCAACTTAGATGGGCCATTTTAGGTACAACTTTCTAACCCCATAGAAACTACTTGTGGATCAGTGCTTCCTGCACAGCAGGGTAATATTAAAAGAGCATCTAATGCATCTCAATTAGCAGCTGATCTGACTAACACCCTCTAGAGCAACAAAAACAAGTCTCAAACTAGATGTAATGTTACCCATATATTTGAAATTGTGTTTGGGAGTATTGAATTTTTTTTTCTTTATCATTTTTTATTATTCTCCTCTGGCTTTAAAATCTCACAGCAGCCTCATGTACTCTTTCCCCAATTGTGACTGGGCCCGCAGGGCTGGGAAGGGTTTTAAAACTCTTTTTGCTAGTCCACTTTCCTGTTGAAAGTTGTCCAGCCATAGCTGTCAACGTTTCCCTTTTTTAAAGGAAAATTCCCTTATTCCGAATGGGATTCCTCGCAAAAAAAAAGGAAAAAGTTGAGAGCTATGTGTCCAGCCCAAAAAGTAGTGAGCCCTCAAGGCTGTGATTTGCTGCTGTGACGGATAGCAGAGCCAGACTAGAGTCTGGTGAGGCAGTCCAGCAAAAATTCCAGCAGAGAGGCTACAAAGTCAGCTACTCACAGAGGACGGAGGAGCAGCAATTTGGGAGGGAGAATAAAAGGGAGAGAGTTGAATAGGGCTTGATTTGAGATGTTAGACAGGATTCAGGTTAAGGGATAGGGCTTGATTTGAGATAGGAGACAGGAAGTAGGATAATAATAATAATAATAATAATAATAATAATAATTTATACCCTGCGCATCTGGCTGGGTTTCCCCAGCCACTCTGGGCGGCTTCCAACAAAATATTAAAACACAATAGTCCTTCAGATATTAAAAGCTTCCCTAAACAGGACTGCCTTCAGATGTCTCCTAAAAGTCTGGTACAGTGGACGCTCGGGTTGCGAACATGATCTGTGCGGGATGTGATTTAGCGCTTCTGCGCATGCGAGACCACCGAAACCCGGAAGTAACCCATTCCGATACTTCCAGGTTTTGGCAGTCCGTAACCTGAAAAAATGCAACCTGTAGCGCCTGTAACCCGAGGTACGACTGTAATTTTTTCCTTTGACATCTGATGGGAGGGCGTTCCACTGGGCAGGTGCCACTACCAAGAAGGCCCTCTGCCTGGTTCCTTGTAACCTCGCAGGGAGGGAACCGCCAGAAGGCCCTCAGCGCTGGACCTCAGTGTTTGTCTGAGAGAGTTGTTTAGAATTTGAGTGGAACATCCGTTCTGAGGAGAATATAGCTATAGGAAGGAGCCTCATAGCTTAGGTATTAAGACTTGAGGGTTGAGGGTCTGGGGAAGGTATACAGACAGGACTTTCCTGGAGGGCTGAGTCTGAGCCGGGAGAGGTAGGAGCTGTGGGAAGACAGACTCCCTGGATCTCATACTAGCCAGGAGGGGAGAGTTCTTCCAAACCAACTCCCAAACCAGTAACAAGGGGTGAGGTGATCCCCTGGGTCTGTTATACCAATTGGGATACCTCAGGAATGGGATTGTTAAGAGAGGGGGGAACTGACGGAAAGTGCCCCTCACTCATGAACAAAGAGTTAAACTGTGAAGGAAAATTAATGAAAGAAAATTAACAAAACAACAACAATGGAGAATAAAAATCCTCCAGCCATAACAGACTGGTTGAGAAAAATCTGATAGCAAAAATCTGATAGCAAGTAGTAGTCAAGCAGACAAATTTATTGCAAGTTGGGCTTTATTTCACCAACCCTGGAATGAAAACGTAACATTATTTATTTATTTATTCATTCATTCTCTCTAGTGTATGTTTTTCTTCTTACAAAGATGTACTCCTTGCTGTCTGCCTCTTGTAACGTTTCTCTGCCTGCCTGGGACAAAAATGGAAAACTTAATAAATATTATATACAAAAATAAATAAATAAATAAATAAAATAAATACTCACTGACCTGCCTTTCAAATAAGTGGAAATGAAGCAGCTGGTTGCCATGGTGAAATTATGATGACACTGTCACTCTGTAGTGGCAGTGCTGAAGTCGTAAGTCAGATTCATGGGGGAATTTCTCCCCCCCCAAGGCCCTGCCTATCAGTTAACAGTGACCTAAGATTTTCCAGTAAAACATGAAATGGTGCACACACTACATTTTGTTCGTGTGCTTAGTTCATAACTTTTCTCTTAGTTAAATAAATAATAATAATATTTTATTACTTATCTCCAGCTACTTTGGGAGGCTTCCATCAAACTATAAAAAATAATGTCAAACATAAAAAAAACTTCCTGCTACAGGCTGCCTTCAGGTATCTTCTAAAAGTTCTGTAGTTCTTTATCTCCTTGACATCCACAGGTAGGACACCACTACCGAGAAGGCCCTCTGCCTGGTTCCCTGTAACCTCACTTCTCGCAGGGAGGGAACTGCCAGTAGGCCCTCAGAGCTGGACCTCAGCGTCTGGGCTGAACAATGGGAGTGGAGACGCTCCTTCAGGCATATTTGTATATTCAAACATACCCTCATGTTGTAGGTTAAAAATAAGTCAATTGAAATATTTATATGTGACTGGAAAAAGTGATGTGCACTATTATTATTTATACAATGGATTTTATTTATGCTATGCAATTATTTATTTTGTATGCATTCACTCCTTTATGCTTAAGAAAACCAAAATAAAACTGGTATACAGATACCAAATGTAAACCATGCATTCCTGAAGGGTTTGTAAATGGCTAGTGGAGTGCATGTGCCGTTGAATAAATAATTTTGCCTAAATACTGTTTTGTTTTTAATAATAATAATAATAATAATAATAATAATAATAATTTATTTATACCCCGCCCATCTGGCTGAGTTTCCCCAGCCACTCTGGGCGGCTCCCAATCAAATGTTAAAAACAGTACAGCATTAAATATTAAAAACTTCCCTAAAGAGGGCTGCCTTCAGGTGTCTTTTAAAGATAGGATAGCTGCTTATTTCCTTCACATCTGGTGGGAGGGTGTTCCACAGGGTGGGCGCCACTACCGAGAAGGCCCTCTGTCTGGTTCCCTGTAACCTCACTTCACGCAATGAGGGAACCGCCAGAAGGCCCTCGGCGCTGGACGTTCAGCGCTGAACGATGGGGGTGGAGATGCTCCTTCAGGTATAAGGACCGAGGCTGTTAGGGCTTTAAAGGTCAGCACCAACACTTTGAATTGTGCTTGGCAACATACTGGGAGCCTTTAGGACTGGTGCTATATGGTCCCAGTGGCCACTCCCAGTCACCCCTCCAGCTGCCGCATTCTGGATTAATTGTAGTTTCCGAGTCACCTTCAAAGGCACACCAGCCAGTGAGCGCTTGGTAGGCAGGTCTGAGGAGTCAGACTCTTAAGTCAGGGACACTGAGAACTTGGAATGTTTTTGTTCCTTGCTCAGAAAGGGAGAAATGGTTACCAAATAAAAATAAATTGGAAAAAAGATACTCAAAGAAACTGCCAGAACATAGTTCAGATAAGAGATGCGGAGAAAAAGCAAAATGCCACAGTGCTGGAATGGTTTCAAAATTTCTGATTTTGGAGTGCATTATGTGACTTTCTGAAACTTGCAGCATTTCTTGGAGTGTGAGATTAAAAGTATTCTCTTGGAAGTCTTCCTTTGTAACATAAGAAAGCTGCCTGGATCAGGCCAGTGTCCCAAGTTCAGCATCTCGTTCTCACAGAAGCCTGCGCAAAAACTGCAAGCAGAATCTGACCACAACAGCCCTTGTGATTCTCAGGAACTGATAGACAGAAATATGCCACCTTTGAACCTGGAGGTAGTATGTAGCCATCACTTGACACATCGCTGAGTTCACATGGCATCCACCTGGCTTCTTCCTCCAAAGAATCTGGGAGCTATAGTTTGGGTTATTGGGTTTGGTGGTTTTGTAACAGGATTTGTAATGGCTTTCAGTCAAATACAATAAATGATTGGTTGATTGATGAAAAAGTGCTTTTTTCCTGAGATGCTAACTTTATCTCTGCATGTCATTCCTTGAACAGCTTCCTGAACAAAGATAAGGCTTGCTTTCATTGCTCTGTTCATTTGTGCATTTGACTAGTGTTGTGTGGGGGGAAATGCAACCACTGGACTGAAAAATGTCCCCCTCCTGCCCCCTTGGGTTTCCAGTGTGGCCTTCACAGATATTGGCACAACTTGGGGTGTGGGTATGTTTTGGCTGCTGAGCTGCACTCACCATTGTGAGGGCTGGGGGGTGGGTGATGATGCCTCCCCAGCTGCTGCCATTGTCTGTGGGTTGACTATAATGTCACAAAAACATTTGGCAGCTGAGCTGGTATAAATGTGGGCCAAGGTGCAAGCCTCAGCAGTTACCCTCCCCAGAGAGAAATGGGCAGCTCGGTGGCACTCAGCCCTGGTGGTCTCCTGCCCCGTGGTGGCAAGCTGGCAAGTGGAAGGAGGCAATCGCCCGGTGCTTGGATGCTGTGGAACAAGGAGAAGGCAAGTACAAAGTTGACTTGCTGGTGGGATCGCTACCTGAAGGCGACGGATATTCAGCTCTGAAGCTGGTTGATGTCTGGCAATGGACCTGGCGAGGCTGCAGCTGGTGGATGGTTGTCGGAAGAGTTTGCATGCAGGCTAGTTGATGCCGTGAGGCTACGCTGGCTGAGATGGATGCAAACTGGTTTGGAAGCCTTGTTTGTTAACAGGCAGCCAAACAGAGGAGGAGTTTGGGAGGACGCTGTCGGATGGGGGCCATCCCACTCACCTGCTTGCCTTTGCCTTACAGGGATGTCCGGAGCCGGTGAGGTTTTCCCCAAGTCCAGCCTTCAAAGTCATGAAGAGAACCGCAGGACATCCCTATTTACATCGGAGAAATGAATGTGAAATACTGGCAGTGAGCAATGGACAAGGCCGTGGGCGTACCTGAGAGAAGGAGGTTTGAAGGGAGACTGCAGGCGGACATCTGCTGCATTGCAAGTGATGGGGCAGTGGGGAGAGAGAAGAAAAAGAGGGAGGAAACATTAGGTCACATTAGGCGCACCGTCCATTGGAAGTGCTATGAAGACGCTTTGAACAGGAATGGCTTCCCCCCCAGGGATTCTGGGAACTGTAGGTGGTTAAGGGGACAGAGAGTTGTTAGGCGGGTTAGGCTTAGGGTTAGGAGTAGGATAGGGGTAGGGTTGAGTTGGGGTAGGGTTAGGGTTAGGGTTCCCTTCTTGGCAGGGAACTTTGGGAATTGTAGCTCTAGTTAAGGGTTAGCAGTAGGGGTAGGGGTAGGGTTCCCTTCTTGGCAGGGAACCCTGGGAATTGTAGCACTGGGAGGGGAACGGGGGGGGTGTCTCCTAACAACTCTCACCACCCTTTTCAAACTATAGCTCCCAGATTCTTTGGGGGAAGAAGCCATGAGTGTTTAAAGCGGCTTCATAGCGCTTTAAATTGTGTGGATGTGGCCCTGGCCTCCCTCACCCCACTGCCTCTTATGATTGAGGAATCGAAAGGATTTCCCCATTCAAATCTCTGGGAAACAGGAAACAGGAAGAAGAAAGACTTTGCATCTCATGCCATTTTGAAATGCCTTAACTTGAAATGCCAATAAAGGTATTTGTATTGTATTGTATTGTATTGTGATTAACATGGGAAGTGGGATGGTAAAATGTTAAGGAGGCGGATGCGATACTTCTGTAAACTGGCACGCCCCTTCTTGTGGGCATGGAAGGAGGGACTTGCGGCTGGACAGGTGACTTTATAAGCTGTGTTTTTCCTGAAGAAGATGTGCCTGATCTTGGGTCACCCCACTTGCAAGTGTGTATAATAAAAATGTTTCCTAATTCACCCATTTTGTCCAGATCACTTTATTTAAAAGGATTCAGAGTCCTTAAGTCAAAGGAACCAGTTTATTTATCTCTCACAAAGCCAAAATAAATAAATAATACCAATCCCTCAACTGCCAAAACAAACAGTCTTGCAGCGCTGTAAAAACTAACAGATTCTGGGAAGACTTTTTTAAAATGGGAGGGTCAGGGGGCCTCGGTGGGTGCCAAGGAGGGTTTCTGAGGGTGACACCTGTCACAAGGAGGGGGCTCCTCAGTCATCATTTCTTTTTTAATAAATACCCCCTTGAGGCCTAGTTTCCCCAGCCCTGTCTATGCATGGTCTCCTGTGATGTCACAAACAGACATGGCAGGGGAAAGAGGCAGTTTCTTATTCTAGAATTTCAAACACAGGAGGGGGACATTTTTCAGCCCAGGGGCTGCATTTCCCTCCACACAACACTAGGCAAAAAACAAATGAACAGAGCAATGAAAGCAAGCCTTATCTTTGCACAGGAAGCTGTTCAAGGAATGACATGCAGAGAGAAAGCACCAAACCCAATTAAACCTATTAAGAAATAGGTTGTCCAATCCCCTGGAATGCAGGAAACTCAGCTGAAATTTAGGAAACGTTTGTATTTCTGCATGTGTTTATAGTATCCAGATTGCTATTCGGAATACTCGAAATGGGGGGGGACCTCAGCTGCACACCCACCTCCCTTCATTTTGGGGGGGTCTCTCTCCCTCCCCTACCTGCCCAGCAGCTTCCCTGCCTGCTATCTCCCCCTCCATCATCCCACTGGCATTGCATCCTCCCCCCCCCAAAGTTTGCTGCGCCCCAAGGCGTTTTGCACTCACCTGAACCCTTGCAGGGAAAGGGGTGGGGCACAATGGGAAGGGGAGGGCAACCGGGCTTCTTAAACCACGCCCCTTTTCCAAAGGAAGCGGCATGGGGGGCTCAGTATCCAGCACCCCCTTCTCTGCTTCTCTTGAACTCTTTGACTTTAACCCTTAGAGATCTTCTAACATATAAACAAATTATAAAAATGCATCGAAGAAACAAATCACACCATCTAACTTTGCTACTGTGCTAGAAACAGAGACAGTTTCTGAGCATTTTTATATATTTATTCTTTATACCTCAGTTTCCACAACCCCACAACATTCTGATTTCCTTCCGGCTGTGCTCTACTTCCTGAGCCAGATCACCATGGAAACCACGCTGCCTACCATCATTTCCATGGGAATTTGACTGGCACAGGAAAAGGAGTGTAGCCAGAAGAAACTCAGTCTTGTTGGCCGTGATTCACAACCACTAAAGTGGGTGGTTTTTTTACGTGTAAAAAAAAATAGAGGCCCTATGATTGACCACCTCAGCCAGAAAGTAGATTTAGAAAGTTAATTCAACTCCCCTCCCCCTCAAATTCTTAGAAGACGATGATGGTGATTGTGATAATAATGTGCTGAATTTCCCTCTCCACTTTTAAAGGGGGTGTGATGGTCCCACAACAATGAAGAGGGAAATTTGACTCACCAAATACTAATGTGTCATGACTTATGTGGCCAGTTCTTCAGCATCAAAATAAGGAGGGAGGTCTCAGGGGACAAAGCAAATCTCCACGCCTCTCTGAAATGGCCCTCAGCACTCTCCCTCAGCCCCACCCTTCCTGGGTCACACACCCAGGCCATACCCTCCCAGACACTGCTTTGCACCCTCCTGGAATGTTTCTTGCCTGGCTGGAATGTGTCCTCTGATAAAGCTCTTGCTTTCCGGGATAGAATGGTGAAATTTACATTTGTTGCTCTGCTCACTTTTGCCTTTGGGTCCTGCCCACCAGTAACAATAGTGTGCCTTATAGCATGAACGTGTTGGGTAAAATTTACTACAGCAGCAAAACCACTGCATTTTCTCAGGGAACACTTGAGCACAGAACACATTCAATAAAAGCACAGGGCAAAATCACATTGTCTAATGAAATGCCTTCATGCACTATTCCTGGGTTTTCTAGAGGCATCCGCCTGAACACTGATGGAAATAGAATGCTAGACAAATAGACCTTGGTCTGATCCAGCAGAGCTCTTGTTATCCTTTGTATGTTGACATTCCAAGTCCAAGGCTCAGATCTCTGCTATTGAGAGTGAACAACAAAGAGACACATTGTGGATGCTGCAAGGTTCGAAAAGGTGAGGAAATGAAAGTGGACAGTAGAGAACTGAAAGGGTCAAGGAGGATAACATTACCTGCTGGGTCTTTTATGAACTGGAGGCTATTTCATCCCTTCCTACTATATGTTCTTGCTAAAACAATAAACACAAGACTTTCTGTGTAGTTCACAATACAGACTTTTTCAGATCAGGGGAGCTGCAGAGTCATGCATAAGTGTTTATAAAGACACATACGCACGCAGCTTGTGTACATTCCCATCATTTAATAGAGGAGAGTGCCAACTGGAGACATCTGTGATGTGCATTGTCTTGCTGTTACATGCATCCGGCCTTTACGCCCCAGAGTTTACTGATGACAACATGGGAGAATGAATGCAGGGATGGAGCAATGATGGAACTCCCAGAATGTTATACTACAACACAAACTCAGTGATTAATCTGAATGAAATGTTGTATATGCTGTTAAGTTTGCTAATATTTCTATCCATTCCTATGAAAATGTAAGAAAAGTCCTGCTGAATCAGACAGAGGGCACATTTACTACAGCATGCTCTTTCCCACAGTGGCCAACCTATAGGAAGCCTGCAAATAGAACCTGAGGGCAGGGACTGACAAATTGGTTGATTTCTGTTGACATTGGTTTGTGAATATTTATTTTAAATGTCATTAAAAACTCACCAGCATTTAAATGTGAATTTCCCCTAGTATGCAATTTTTAAATCAAAATTTGACTGAAATTCACATAATGTATGAATGTGAATGTTATTGTGCAGTTGCAGTTAGCATTTGGAAACATATGGCATGTAGCAGGAGAGATTGGGCGCTATAGGGGAGCAATTAGTATGTGACAGCATCTCTTAGACTGTCTGCAAGCTAATTAATTCAATTTTATATTAACCTTATTCATTGACTTAGCCAACTAGGAAAAATCAACTTAGATTGGCCAAAAAGGGGGGGTAAAATTCTCAGCTTTCAATCCTGACATTCTGATGTCAAATTTTGTGAGCAAATGATGACCGCAAATCCAAATTTGAAAATCTTCTGTCATTTGGTATTTTGTGAAATCTTGTTGCAGACATTGTTCTACATTTTCCAGAGTAAGGATTGTGGGTGCCATCCAGCAGTGACTGCTGATGGAAAGAATCATTCAGTAGAACAGGGAGAGGAAGCTACTGGTGGTCCTCTCCTCCTGCCTGTAGGGCCTCATCCCACGCCCCAAAATACGTTCCAAGGGAAAATCTTCAGAATAAGTTTGTTTTTTTCTGGGGAAGGGAACAATGACAGAGTGGAGGGCAGTAGCGTAGCGTGGGGGGTGCAGGGGGGGGCGGCCGCACCGGGCGCAACATCTGGGGGGGGGTGCGCTCGCACTCGCAGCTCTCTGCCCCTACCTGGCTCACTCACTCTCTCTCACTGCAGTGCTGGCTGTGCGAATCCAATCCGAGCTGCTGGGTCGCCACCCACTGTGGAGGGGGTGGGTGCCAGGCATGCGGTGCGGAGAGAGAGCGAGGGACTATCTGGGGGAGGGACAGCGCAGCGCTGAGCGCGGGAGAGAACCACACCAGACCAGACCAGGCAGCAGCAAGAAGAAGCTGGCAGCGGCGGCAGGTAAGGGGTTAGGGGGCACAAATTACTTGCCTTGCCCCGGGTGCTGACAACCCACGCTACGCCACTGGTGGAGGGTAATCACCTACAATTTGCCTCCTCTCTGTTCTGCTAATCGATTCAGCAGACTGTCACTAAGGAGACTGGTCCTTCAGGGCAATTAGGGCATCGCCCCACCAAACTCATTCTGTCCTCAGCCTCCACCTGTCTGTGTTCTTGCTTCCAGGTGGTCCAGAGGGTTCTGGTCGTAGCTGTCACTGCCCTCCTCAGTCTCACTATTGCCTTTGTAGAACTGCGAAAGGAAGACGATAGGAACAAAACTAGAAATAGTTGGCGCTGGGTGTCATTGGAACTCACTCCACCTACTGCTCGACTCCTGGCCTTACGCCAGGGGTACCCAAAGTTTTTTCAAAGAGGGCCAGGGCCAGATTTGGTGAAGTGAACATGCATGAGGGCTGACCAAGGTTGTTGAGAGCTTTTTCAGGGATTTTACCTGCCACAAGAGCCGGATTAAACTGACTGGTGGGCCGGATTAGACCCCCAAAACGGACTTTGGACATGCCTGCC